AAAAAAAAGAACAGGTACAAGTAGTCCCTAAATGACTCTAGATACATGTCAATCATGATCAATACACTAGAATCCAACCTACTCCATAAGAACTGCATGCAAAAGAAAAGAAAAGATAATATTGCAGTACAAAACGCAATCTCTACCGGGAACTTCTAAAATAAACCGAGAGTTACAGTATCACCGCCCGAGATTAGTGAACCGCACTTAATTCACAAATGGACGATGTAAGGGGCTTTACACGATAAAAAGCATAATATGAATCGCTTTTATGAGTGCAAATTTATAGCTCAACCTACAAACAGCAGGTTGCACAGAGACGAAAGCAAACTCAGGAAAAACCGCATTAAGAATAATGCAGTTTGAAAGATGCCAATCATCACAAAGATGAAAGCAAAGTTCAAAATCTTCGCCTAAATTCAAGTCTGGTGTAGGCTCTTTCACACATCTGCACCGCAACAAACAAACACACGTAGCTCAGCAGGGCTACGATAGCATACTGTAGCGGTGCAAAATGGTCCGCACAACACTAATGATGAACTCTCAAATCCACCATTAACTCCACCATCATTACCTACGGAAAGGAGGTAAAAGGTACAATATCTGCCATTCATAGACTGAACCGTATAGATCCGCTCTTCTTTTTCTGACCAACTAAATAAAACTGGAAATCTAGGTAAATGCTCCCAGCTTCTCGAAATTCTTTCCAGTTTGCGAGAGCGTAGCTGCAAGGGAGATCAGTACATGCAATAATATATCAGTATCTATCTAGGGCTCTAGTCCCATTGAATGGGGAGAGGATTTGAGGTTGACAGAGGTCTTAAATGCCTTCGTCAAGCTCTCTTCATACACAGCTCCTTGACAAATGGATCCACTTCCCAGTTTTTGAACAGCTCCATCACTTGCATGTTTTCCTCATTTTGGGCAAGAATGTTCTGGAAAGCAATTATTTTGTGATGTAAAAAGATTTTGTTATTTTACCTGTATGCTTGCTGTCATCATCAGCAGACTGCCATATTTCTGAACGCCAGCAGCCATTCCAAGTTTACTGGTAATGCATGTGAAAAGTGCGCTTAGATATTTATTTCGCTCTTCGTACACCTCCGGTTTTGCTTGATTCGACAGGTCAAGAGCATCTGAATTCATTGGAACATTACTTCTCAGTTCTAAAACTTCCAGGATAGACCAAAATCTTCGAACAACATACCGGGATTGAAGAACAAAGCTGCTTTGAAGGTTGCAAATTCAGAAACAGACAATTGAAGCCGCCGAAACGGTAGCATAATCTCATCCATTTGTCGTGTGTAAATCGGTCGACAACCAGACAATTGCACCTGTAAAGTGTAAACAAAAATTAAAGAACGAATTAATTCAACAGAGTACATGTTTCTGAAAAAAAAAAGGTTTACCTGCTGCTGAGGTTGCCGCATGATGAATGCGCCATTTTGAAAAACGATCTTGTCCGGTCCATGATCAGGCGAGTAAAAAACTCGATTCAGGAGATTAAAGGCGAAAGCGAAATTTCGTACCAAGGCAAACTAAATGAGACAGAATAATACTGTTATTATAACAATTACAGGCCTCTTTTCGAGAAGTTTCTGGTTTTTAGTTGAACCTAGGCGCTTAGAGGAACGGATGTTGTCAATGAGCTAATGAACTAGCATAATTTATTGTAAGTTTGAGTGTTGATGGTGTTGTTAGAATCAATCAAAATTTCTTCGCAGTGCGACGTAGCAAACTTCCTCATATGTATTCAGTAAGACTGTAGATTCATTTTTTCCTCCCCTGATTTGATAACAGTAGACGTCTCGCCAGACGTCTTGTTTT